CAGTTGCAAACTGTAATGACTCTGAGCAAGGAAAAACGTTGACTGGCCTCTCATCCTGAGAAAGGAGGACATGGTGTACAGGGAGGCTGGTGGAGAATTCTGACTGAGGTATTTGAATTTTATGAAACTCTGTTACAAGTCTGAATAATGGAAAAATGTGGCAATGGCTTGTTCCCTGCTACACCATCTATAGGAACAAGAAAGCCTAATTCTAAAAATCTGAAAAACTGTACTCAGCGTTGTCCTGTTTCTCACCCACTGGATGATGCAGTGAAATTAAAGCTGTTAATAACAAATGCTTTCTCAGAGGTGCAAAAGGAATTCTGTCTACCTGACAGACTCATTTCCTACCGGGTCACACCTACCATGGAAAGTTCTACTGGTGGATGAACACAATGCCCTATTGGGGTGAAGCCAAGGCCAAAGACTGAAAGACACAGACCCTCAACTGAATTGTCACATTCCCCTTGGCAGGTAAGAAGAACTTGAGACAGCCAGGGCTGACTGTGGACTATGTTACACGCACGCACGCGCACACACGCTCGCGAAGCATCAGTCCGGACAGGCCAGTAATCCTAAGACCCAGGCCAGGTGCAGCCTTCAGGGACTGCTGGAAAGGCCAGTGCTTCCAATGCAACCTGAGCTCTTCACTGGAGAAAGCGCCCGCCCCTGCCTCCAGGAGGATTTCAAAGTACCTTGAGACACCAGTGCACAAGCACACTTCTACTATTTCTGAACCGTGCTTGTCTTAAATGTCATCTTGCCACCTGGCAGCAGCCTATGCTCGTGCACAGCTACAGTGCCAGGCCACTGCCAGTCAGTCATTATCTTGAGCACAGCAACCAAGCAACCACTGTCCTTTGGGATACTCCTTCAATCCTATAGCTTTGATTCTTGATTTACAAGTCACTTCACCAAATCTAATGGACGCTGTCTTTAATTACATTTTACAAGCCCTGTGTGCTGAAGAGTGCTATGTTCACAGAGAAAAAAGCTAAACAAGCACACATATATTTAAGAGACCATGGAGGCTGATTTTGTCATTTTCTAAGTTGTGGGTGGTAAAACTGCATGTCCAGCTGTGCCATTAAAACTTAAATACAGACTCCAGAAGCTTCTGGGAAACACAGCTTATCCTTCGGAGGCAAGGAAGTCTCTGACACATGCCGGGAGGAGGGATGCAGGTGAGTCTATGGAGTCACAGGCCAATAAACAGATAATAAATAAATACATTTTAAAAAGCAGACAGGTGATGGCATAGAAGCACTGCTTTATAGTATTTTCAGAGTTTCTGTTGGGAAATTAGTTTACAGAATTCGTGAGACTTTGTCCTTCCAGACGTGCACATAGGGCAGGTGGAAGGCACAGTAAGGAACAATGTCCTAAGGGCACAGGCTTCCAATGGTGAAGAGAGAGAAGCAGCATGTTCGGCTTCTGTGCTCAAAAGTCACTTGGGTAGAGAGCAAACTTTGTAGGAAAGCTATGTTTTAAGGACACTAGAATAAACACCTCACAGCACTCTCTTGGGGAATCAGAAGCACACTTGAGATGGAAAGGCTAGACAGCAGATGGCTTAGGGGTTGGCTCTATGAGGCTGGCCTGGATTTAACTACTGTCCCTGCTGTGTGCTTTTGGCAAGTTATAAACCTCTTAGCCTCAGTTTCCCCACATCTAAAATGGACACAGAAACAGTGGCTGTCTCAGAGGCCTCTGAGGGCAGCAGGACATGGGAATGACCTCCACAATGCCCACTGCCCACACTTGACTCAACGTTCTAAAGCACCTCCTTCCTGGCTTACTCTTCCCAGTTCACCTTGGGACATGTCCCTGTGGAATGTGTCAACTAGGAGGAAATGTGGCTTTGCTAGAGCCTCTCAGGGTCAGAATAGAAGTGTCTTTACTTGGAACCAACACCCTGCAAACAGGTACACACACAAACTCACACACACTAAACTCACACACCCCACTTCTCCACAGGAAGCTTCCATGGTGTGACCATGGCCCCCTGGCCTCGGAGTAGCTGAATGTATGATTAGATAGTCCAGTGCAACATTTTATGAAAGCCATACCACAGGCTGTGGGGACCTGACAGTCCCACTCCCTAACTTATCAAGATGTCCTTCAGGACTGTGGCATCTCTGTATAGTGAATGAGAGGACAGGATAGATATCACTGCTCCAGACTTTGTGTCCCTTCATAGGACTCTATCCTCAGAAATTTCAGTGTTACTGACCACACAGAGGACGCGGTGATGCTGTGACCTCTCCCTCTCAGACTTCTCCTTTCCCAAACAAAAGCCCTTCTGCTCTGTGGCTGAGCTGGTGGTTTTGGTCCATGGGGCACCACACCAAACTATGGCTGTGACCTCTACATCTCGCCATGCTGTGCTGCTCAGTTAGCAGAAGGCTGGCTCTGTCTGCAATGAGTCCAGGATTCCAGGTCTTCTCATCCCAGAAACAACCATGTGGCCCAGGAGAAGACAGTAGGGTCTCTGGAGAGGGAATCCCAATTTACAGTCCTCCAGGGTTGGAGTCATAGACCACCCATGTAAGAACACACAGTTCTGGGGTAGCTGTCTAGAGCCCAGAGTTAAGAGAAAGGCATTTCATGGAGTGGTAGGCAAAGGAAATGGTACAAAGATGGCCTTGAAAACTGAAAACAGGTTCTCAATCATAAAAACCTCATGAAAATAGAGGTAGTGTTTAACAGTGTGACAGTTTCGCTTGCTGGGATTCCTGAAAGTCAGGGCACCAGGAAATACAGCACTATGGAGCCAATCACATCTTAGCTTTGCTGGGCCAATGAAGCCCAAGGTATAAAATCTGCAACCTAAGTACCAGGACATGGTCTCTCTGCTGGAGAGACCCAGAGGCCAAGTCCACAAGGGCAGAGAATAGAGCCCACTCCCCACGGCCTCCCCCACATCGAGGTCAGGACCCTAGGAAGGGCCTGTGCAGCAGTGGTCCTCAGCCCTGGTTCCTGATACACTGAGATCTCTGGTTCCAGGACTAGGAGTTGGGGGAGCTGTTATTGTTGCTGATTTGTTTGTTTTTATTGTGTGAAAAAGAAGCCCATTAAAACACTTTCGCAGCTCTTCACAGTAATTCTAAATTGCCAATCACAAAACCAAATCCTGTTAGGAGAAAAAGGGAGAGAATGCCAGTGCTTTATTTTAAGTCCTTCATTTGTAGATGAAGATTCAAATGCCAAGAGAAAGCCTCTTGCATAACCTCTTGCACAGCAGGTGGAAAGGGGAGAAGCTGAGGCCAGGACCAGCCCTGTTCCCCAGGCCTGGGCTGCATCCCTAGCAGTGCCTGCCCTTCCTCACCAAGCACCTCAAATGCTGTCTTCCTGGCGGGGAGAGTTCACCACAGCAACATCTACTTGAGACAGGGCCAGACCCCCAGATAAACCCTACGCAGGCCTGCTAGGAACCCTGCAAGCATGAGACCACCTTTGTCTCTGCTATCACAGAAAGGAGCAAGACCCAGGAAAGGCCTTGCTCCTTGGCTTTGTTTGTGGGATGAATAAAAGGCATTAAAAAGAGGTGGAGTGATTGGGAAAAAGTAAATTACTACCAACCACAAGGGGCAAAACTAACAGGCAGGCTAAAATACAAAACTGGGACAATTCCAAAGGCTGGCTGTAACAGACGTGACCTCGCTTACATTGCTGACAAGAACGTAGAGTGGCACAGACATGGTATGGCAGCTCCTTAGAACCCCTAATGTGTGTTTCCCATAGGAACCAGCATGGATACTCCTGAGGATTTATGTCACAGAAGTGAAGAACTGTGCTCACTCCGAAACCTGCACGCAAATGCTTACAGTAGCATTATTCATAGGACCCTGTACTACGAGTAGCCCCAGTTTCGTTCAAAATAGGGACTTGGTGAAGGAAACCATGGTCCATACATATCGTGGAATACTCTTCAGCAATGAAAAGGAACAAATCACGTATACAAAAAAACCACCAAAATTGGCCTCTAGGGAATTAACTAGTATGAGGAAAATAAGTCAGTTCCAAACATTATAGACTACATAACTGCACTTATTTAACATTTTTGAAAATTTTAGAAAAGGACAATTTAGTGGTGGCCACAGATTAGAGTTGTGGAAGGAGAGAGGTTAATGTGGTTAAAAGCGGACAAGAAGGGAGACATTTTTGGTAACAGAAATGTACAGTGGCCTGACTGGTGGTAGATTCAAGCATGTGTACATGTGATAAAATTGTATAGAAGTAAACACAAACACTAACGAACACAGGGGAGTGACTGGATCATGGTACATTCCCTGCTTTTAACAGAGTACTGTAGTTCTGCAAAATGCTATCCCTATCAACGAGAAAACTGGGTAATGTATACACAAGTCCTCTCTGTGTTATCTTTTACAACTGCTTGTGAATTGACAATTATCTTCATAAAAGTGTAATAAGAAAAAGAAGATCAAGAGAAAATTTCTCCAAAAAACTCCCACACAATCAAGAACTCTCTGATCATTGTTGGTGCTTACAGAAATTATAAAACCCAAAGTGCTAGAATATTAACCAACAGCTTTCACAGGGAGATGATCAGCAAGGCACAAGTTTAATATTTCATAAGTATGGAGAAAATGCTCACAATGTTTTTTTTTAAATCTGAAATATGCAAAATGCCAGTCCTTTGAAACGCCTGGAGTAGGGCTGAGAATCACTTTGGCTAATGAAGACATCTGTTTGAAATGAGATGGCACATTGGTGGTGAGCAATTCCTCTCTGCCCGTGACAGTGGCTAAGGGAGCTGCTGGCTCAGGCTGCTTCTTTCCAGGGACAGAGACCAAGCTCCTAGTGCCAGAGCCCTGTGTTGGCACTGGAACATCACAAGATCTCCATGTCCAAGTCCCTCATAGCTATCTCCATCACAGAAGGGGGTGAGGCTCTGTAGGGAAGCAACCTTCATATGCAGGCAATACCACTGGCCCCACCAGACCTGACTCAGATGAGCACAGCTCCCCAGAACTTACTTGTTCTGCATCATATTCATTATCACCCAGTCAAAAGGGTAGACATTCTTCCCAATGAGGTTCTTAAACATGATGAATGTTTCCATCAGAAAGTCCTGAAATAAAAACACCACATTGAAACACCCACCAGGAGAAAGGTGAAAACTACCCTGTGTAAGAAGGCATGAATGATGAGCTCATAAAAGACCCCATTATTTTTAGCTGAATAAAAACATTCGAAAAACTAATGAAGATGTATTTCACAAGAGCTGTGCATTAGTTCTTTATTTATCCGGGAACCTCTTGTCTGCAATGGATTTTTCAAGGATATATTCTGACACAGTTCCTGGGCGTGTAGGTACCCAAGAGTTACTAAGACACATCCATACTTTATAGGAAACATGACTTTTGCAAACCTAATTGGCAGGTTGTAGCTTTTTCTTGTTTTGTCTAAATCCATTTTTCATTATGAATAGGTGAAATGTAGGGTATTGTTACCCACTCCTTTTTCTTATGTAACTGAAACAATAAAAGGGATATGTACACACTCAGCATACTACAAACCATGTGGGCATGTGGTCACTTTGTCCAAGTCTTCTACACACCAGCTCCACCTCCCAGCCGCCCACTGACGTGCCTGGTATCTCACAGACAATACTCTGTCCTGAGTTGACTAAAGAGCAGCAGGGTTCAAGGTGTGCCCTACTGCCCCATTCTGATTCCAGGCTGATACCATTTCCCTATCCAGATTTAGCAGAATGGCTTGTTTGTGAGGACGAGACACTTGCTCTATGCTAAAAACCTGTACAAAGTAAGAGTATTCCAAAGAGTTCACATGTGCGGTAGCCTTGTGTGTGCTCAGGATATAGAGGGGGAAGGGGAAAGGCCGCAGAGAATTGATTTAGGAAAGTGAGGCACTGGCCAGAGATTGCCAAATGAGGGGATATTTCTCATTATTTAATCTACTGAATCATAAGTAGGTGCAATGCCTATGAAGGCCAAGGTGATGGATGGAATTTAAGCAGCCAAGAAAGCAATTTCCAGTGCAAAGTTCTTAACCAGCACCATGTACAAAGGAGCACACGTGAAATCTGATGAAACCATTAGGGGAGGGGCAAATTTCACACACTTTTCCAGTAACCTTAACAGTCACAGTACATTGCTACAAGTCCAGTCTGTGCTGGATGGGATTGGCTGCTCCTGTCCATGAATAAAACTCAGGGAGTGATGTGATTACCCTTTGATGACAAAGGCTCTAGGCCAAGGTAGGGACCTAGGCAAAGCCAGGAAGGGAAAGTGAGCATAGGCGTCCTCCACACTCTGCCCATGCAGTCTGTGACCAACCACCAGAACTCAGGAGCACAAACATTCTAGTGTCCCCTAACTGGCTTCTTTCCCCAGACTAATTATTGACAGTCATATTTTAGTACTTAGTTTCCCATTTTGTTACGTTTTCCATTTTGATGACCAGGTTACATATGGTGTTAGCTGGGTGCTGTAATTTAGCCACATTTCTACCTGCATGGAATTGCTGGCTTCCTTGATCACCCTTCATCGAAGCCTAAAAATTGAGATGCAGTGTCTGGGCTACATTATTCTGGGAGAGGAACATCTTTTCCCAGCTCCTTTTCTTTCTTTTCTAGGAGACACAGTCTCGTACTTCATTAGCATGGCTCAGCTGTTAAATTGTGGGACTCTGCTGATCAAACAAAACACTGCAGAGAGTGGGAAATGAGGTTTCGTAAGGCTTCCTTATCGGTCTGCGTAATTCACTAGTCATGGTGGTCCAGACGTTTAAATGCGCAAGCCCAGAATGGCTCATGAGCTTAGCAAGACTGTTCTACAGAGGTCTCTACGTTGACAAGGGCGTGTTTTATGAGACTTTCAGCTAATGTTGGTTTATTCTTGTTAATTTGATAATTCACAAGGATCTCTACATAATAAGTGGGCGGCTCTAATGAGAGCCATCAGCGCACCCCAGAGGTCAAGTCCTCTTACCAGAGGTTACCTGCTCGTCTCCATCCCTGACCCCTGCCAACATGCACAGATGGTCATTCTCTTGCACCTGGACTGCCGCAGGGTAACTCATCCATCCATGTCATTCTTTCCCTCTTTGTCCCCACGCTTCACCCAAAGTGATCTTTTCAACTATGAATCTGATCAAAAAATGCTCTCCCCATCTTGCCCTTAAACCCCTTCCGTAATGGCTTCCCAATGCTTTTAGACTAAAGATGAAGCATATTGATGCTCAGATCAGGAAAGCCCCATCCTTGCTGTGTCCAATAAGCAACAGTTATAAATGAAAACAATTAACAGATTTTCTACCCATCTGATGAAGGGCTGTAGGGAACTGGGTATCTGTTCACTTTATGGGTCTCTCAGGTTCACCCTAAAGATCACCTCATAATTGCCAAGGGGAGGTATGTATATTGTAATGGAGACAGCTGGAGTTATTATCTTTCAACTGTGTGGCCCAACAGCATCCCCAGTGTGGGCCAGTGTGCCACTCCCAGCCTCCCAAGTGAACTCAGCAGGAAGTACTCAACACCACCTCTGAAACACTCTTGCCAAAAAGCAGGTCTTGAATTGTAGGGCAAGCTTCCAGCTTTCAGGACATTATGTGGGAGGGATGAGGGAGGCTAGCTTTAGAAACTAGTTTAAAGATATTTCAAGGAAGAATTCACAAAACCTAGACAGGGGGACAGTCTACCAAGCTCTTGGTTTGGTCTTTGCAAAATAAATAAACAAACAAATAAATAAAGTGATGCCATGAAAAGAAGATAAAAAGCAAGATGATGAGTTTATTCTAGGAAAAGGAAAAGCACCAAGAGACACAAACAAACCTGACAGACAAATTTGGTCTGGATTCGGACCGGAGTTGGCCACCATGTGAGTGTGAGCAGAATGAAGACACCTGAGGCCCCCAGGGTAAGAGGACGGCTATCCTGTCCTGTGGTACAGAGACCACTGGACAGCATCCTGGTTCTTAGAGGTGCTTGTGGAGACACTTAGGGATTAGCATTCAAAAGTGGCTCTCAATTTCTTAAGGGATTTGCCATATAGACAGAGACACAGACACTGGAAAGGAGCACCCAGGCGGAAGTGCTCAGGGCTCCCAACTGACAGCAGGAATCTCTGTTCACACTGCACGATTCTTCCAGTGTTTCTGTATGTTTGAAACATTTCATGATGCACAGTTAGGGCAAAGAATACAAGTAATACTGGGGGAATATGAATAAGTCACTGGGTGATACGAATGTCAAAATCCTGGTTTTGATGCTGCATTATAGTTTTGCAAGATGTTACTGTCAGGATAAACTGGGTAAAGGGCACACAGAACTGTTATTTCTTACAGGTGCACATGGCTCAACAACGATCTAAAAGTGAAAAGTTCATTCAAAAACCAAATGTTTTAAAAATAAATTTTAAAGAGTCTCAGGAACTCAGGAGGTAGGAATTGGGGAAACATGGTTCAAAGTAACCCCAGGAAAAGTTAGTGAGACCCCATCTCAACAAATAAGCCAGGCATTACAGGCCTGTGCCTGTCGTCCCATCTACAAGGGAAGCTGTACATATAAAAGGATTGTAGTCTGAGGTTGGCTCTGGGCAAAAACCATCAAACCCTATCCAAAAAACAACTAAAGCAAAACTGGGGACATGGCTGAAGTGGTACAACTCCTGCCTAGCAAGCCCAAGGCACTGAGTTCAAACCTCAGTACCACCAGGGGGTAAAAAATTAGAGTAGAAAAACAGCAAACTGATGAAAATTAACATGCAAACAAAGACGATGAAGCTTTGGCAGGAGGAGATCTTGTGTGGTCTGAAGCCTCAGGTCCTCTCAGGTTCCCCACCGTCACCAGGAACACACTTGCCACAGGCCAGCCCCTGCACTCCCCACCCCCACCCACGGCCCTCTTTCCTCCATAGCCCCCTCACTGCAGAGAAGGAACCTGACCACCCACATAACCACTTGCCTGCTGGACACACAGGTGCTTTTGGTTGACTGGAAAGACTGTGATTAGCTGTGGCATTGTCTGTTGACCATCAAACCTTAGAGCTGGCCTGTCTGCAAGGCTCCATGGCTAATGTGCATATCTAGTCATGGGCAAAGTCACTGTCAAAGTACTCTCTGCCTGCAGATCCATGGTGCAGTGTGGACAGCCTCCATGAGCACTGTGCTGAAAATGGTCAGAGGAGTGAAGCAGCAGGTATGGATCCTGGATCATCTTCCAGCCCAGATGCATGCTCCATGGGGACTAGCAGGTCACCCTTTGGTGGCTGTTTTCCAAGGGTCTCAGTGCCTGTAAGACCTTGCATGGCTCAAGAGCAGAGTGTTTCATTGGCAAGAACACTCACCTTCCTAGCCTGCCTGCTTCCACAATGCCCTGAGCACCTCCCTTACCACTTCCCACATGCAATGCCCAGCCTTGGACCGGGACAGGCTGATGGTTGCACTTCTCCACCCTCCTCTACCCTACATCTGACTAACCTTCAGCATTCATTTACTGCCTCCACCTGCATTGGCCCTAGGTCCCTCATTCCTCACTGAACACATTTTCTAAAGACCACTGGGGTGTAAAAGCAAGACGCATACTTGGGTCTTGTACCCAGTGTCCCTGAACTGAGTACTACCTACCTGATAGTTTTACGAGTGTCAGGAGTGTCATATGTCCACAAGTAGCTCCATGTGTCCACACCTGAGCTTACGCTAATGAGGTGATAGGGTGTGGCTGGGCTCTAGAAAAACTAAGAGACTAGAGTGTTGGAACTTTCATCTTCTACTGCCCATCAGTGACTGGGGCATGGAGATTATTCTGCTTCTGGGCAGTGGGGCAGGTGGAGGTGCTGGGAGCAGAGGCTGGGAGAGGATGCTTCTGACACACTACGAGGTTGTCCTGTGCAGCTCTTCCCTTTGGCTGTTCCAACACTGTATCGTCAATAACAAACTGGGGGCATGGCTGAAGAGGTGTCCACAAGTGTGTCGCTGAGTTCTGTGAGACATTCAGGCAAAGTGTGAACCCGAAAGCCAGGGTCATGGGAAACCCTGATTTATAGCTGTTTGTCTGGAAGTAAGGGAGCCAGGCCCTGCAACTGGACTGGGCTGAGCTCTGTCACCTACTGGATCTGAGGCTTAACTCCAGGTAGACAGTATTGGAATTGAACTGAGTTGTAGGACTCCCAGCTGTGTCAGAGAATTGGCTGGGATGAGAGAAACCCCAGGGCATATGGTCACAAGAGAATTTTGGATGTGAGTACAGAGAAACGTGTGTTTTTCCAGAGCCACTGATGCGGACTTGTGAGAAACAGTGAGAGGACAGCCATCTGGAAGGTCTGGAGCTCTCATCATTCCCTCCACCTGACAACGGGGACTCTGTGCAAAGTCCTGAGACTGAGATTTAGACATAGGACAGCAGCAGCTGTGGGGCAGACGAGCATTTCTACTGCAGAGGAGTCTGAAGATGTCAGTGGCTCAAATCTTCAAGGATAGGCTTGCCTCCGCCTTGGGTTGGTATGAATGGTGCACGTCCAGTCCTTTTCTTTTCTGTGCACTATTCTCTCACTAGTGTAGGGTCACAGTCAATTTGAGAGGCTGTAAAAGCAACAGCCCTGTGGCCTGTGACTTTGGTGTGACAATAACCATGATTTTGTGTGGGAAGGACTCATCAACAATAAAGGGTTAAATTTGAGAACCTGAACTAGCACATGTTAGAAGGAAGTGAGTCTTCAGAAAATTATTTAAGTTGTTTTCATATTGGAATACTAATTAACTTTCAATTATTACACACAAAATGATCTTCTGTTTTATGATAGCTGCCAGAGTAGAAAAATAATTTTAAAAAACTCTCTACATATAGTTAATGGATAGGAACACATTTTACAAAGGTTCTGATGGATTAACAACAATAAAAAAAAAAAACTCTTTACCATTCTTGCAGTATGAATTTGAGATATCCAAAACAGAAATGGCATTTCACAATGGAAATCAAATTGTCTGCAAATAATTGGTTTTCTGAACTGCTGTGTCTATGGAAAAGAAGTCCCTTGGGAAATTAGGGTCACACCATGGGTAAACATCTGATTCTTTGCTCTGGGCAAGGAGAAAAGGTACACACGTGGCATTTAGCAAATTACAGTAATTTTTAAACACCTTGTCGTATGGTCACTTTCCACAATGCAATGAAGGCTCTCACCGACAGAGCCACTTAAGAGTTCACAGTAAGTAACTCCTGTCATTTCTTGGTGGACTTTGCTCAGTTACGAGCCTGAGAGGCTCTCCAGCCTTAAGCTGTACCCTAATCATGGATGCTTATCAGCACTTCTCCAAATAGTGCACTAGCCACTCTCAGTAAAACTATGATGCAACTTAATTAGGAAAAGTATAACAGAGGGAAATTTATTGCCTAGGAGCTCACAGTTTGCACATGGGGCTTTAAACACATGATTGCTCTGATACGGAGCCCTCACTTTTCAGGACGGGTGATTTGTCTCATTCTCAAAGTTTTATTATTCAGACTGCAATGTTACCTATGACACTTTTCACATAGTTTCAATCTATAAGTATTCTTTCCATTGACCAATGAAGAATAAGGACATATGTAAGACTCATTTTTGGCATTAAATACTGTATATATAAAACCTGATTTCATTACGGCATGACTTCAAACAAATCATAGGATATAATGTAATGTATGATATATTTGAGTATGTCTTGACTATAACCTACTCATTAATATTCCAAGAACACTAAAACATGCAGCCACACAAACATGTACACATTCTTGTACCCTGACATTTATTTAAGAGAAACTGCTGTGATTTTGAGATATACATTTATTTTTTGTCCTTCTTAGAAGTCTGTAATCTATCTATCTCTTTATATCTATTTCTCTCTAAGGCAACGATAAGAAAAATCTGCCCTACAAATAACCTTTTGGTAAAAATCATAAAAATCATTGTCTTTTTCCCATGCTTTAATAAGACAGAGGTCAAGTGGTACAAAACAAGTTCTGGAGACATGAGTAGCGCTTACTCTATCCTGCAGGAATCTGGAGGTATTTTATAGGAACCAAGAGCTCCTTAGGAAAGGAATCCCAGAGTCAAGTCAACTTCTCATCAGGAGCCCTGCCAGCAGGCTTGGTTGCAGCTCTGCTGAGGATTCTGCCATATGGCTATGCAATTTCAGGTCACTAGGGAGGTAGCTCCTAGGCAATAAATTTCCCTCTGTTATACTTTTCCTAATTAAGTTGCATCATAGTTTTACTGAGAGTGGCTAGTGCACTATTTGGAGAAGTGCTGATAAGCATCCATGATTAGAGTACAGCTTAAGGCTGGAGAGCCTCTCAGGCTCGTACTGAGCAAAGTCCACCAAGAAATGACAGGAGTTACTTACTGACCATCTATCCATGGGTAACACCTCCAAATTGTCAGTGATCCCAAAGCACTGGAGAACAGAGACCAGAACAGACACGATTTCTCTGGGCCAAGACCCTGAGTCATTCTCCAGGTCATCACTAGATGAAAGTCTGCAAGCCTTATCAGAAACAAGGCTTTGGTTACATTGAGTAGCTTCTGAAATCAGAGCAGGTTCTCATGCGAAAATCTATTTACAATGGCAATGTTGACATCATCTTTTGCTTACATGCTGGCTACAGCACACAGGTTATATGAAATGGTAGAAAGGACACTCACCACGACATCAGTCCTCATTTTTCCAAAAGTCTTGAGCAAGTGAGCATAATGGTAATCTTCCATCTGCCGTAAAATAGCTGTCATGCAAGCAACGAAGTTCCCCTGCAAATGGACGGAAAAGTAGAATTAGATGGAGAGAAGAACACTTATGGGAAAAATGTCGATGTCAACCAAGGGAGAAGCCCTGGGGGTGAGTCCTGCCACACCTTGCTCGAGGCCAACCAGCTAAGGTAGGCATTAGTCACTTCTGACCTCAGGGTATTTTCTGGGGAGAGGGTGTGATATTTCTTTCTCCTTAACTGCATTAAATGTTTCCTGAGATGAGGTTGTCAAGACTTGGAAAACAAACTTTAAATATTTTTGTATTTAGTACACAAAAATTAAAGACAGGAACGAAATCTTGGTCACTGATGTTTTGTGCCCTCTTGGAAACTTGCTATTCTTATTACCAGGCAAACTGCGCACAGCCCCTCCTCTTGCACCATGGCAAAGAGAGGTCTTTTATTTCTCCAAATCTTCCTGAGTCCCCCTTGACCAATTTAGAGGCAATCACCACTGACTCCACAGTGAGTTATGGTCCAATTCTCCAACTCAGGAAGAGAAGGGGGAGGAAGACAAGCTCGTGGGAGTGTCAAGTGGGAGAGGTGGGAATTCCTCAAACCAGACAACTGGCTGGAAGGAGGGGGTAAAAAGAAATCAGTGAACAAAAGCAAGACACAGCCAAAGCAAAGGACCAAAGCAGGTGGCACACGGCAGAGCCTGGTCTGTGTGTGGCTGTGAGAATGCATGTGCCTCTGTGTGCCCTACAGGATGTTTAAGTGTGTGTGTGTGTGTGTGTGTGTGTGTGTGTATGTGTGTGTGTCAGAGGAGACAGGTATGAGCCGTCTTGTAGCCATTAGCTGTAATTTCTCACTCCTAGAGTGGGTAGCTAACAACATCATACAGCCTTCATACCTTTTAAATATGTACCCCTAAGTTAATAACATTTTAAGATACACAAGACATATATTTTCTCCTATTAAACCAGTAAAAGTCTAGAAGAATTATAGGATGAGACTTAGTTTGAGACATGTCCCTATTTTTTCCCCAGTAAATGAGCTCCCAAATTGCATTCTTTTACTAACTGTACTTTTTCAACAACATATTTGAATGCCTAAATATCTTTTATATTAATTTGGAATACGCACTCCACAGTGAAATGTTAAAGTCTAATATTTTCTACAATCCATTTTACATCTGTAGGATACACATATAGGTTTCCAAATGAGTCCTCGAAGGGTGCATTACACAAATTGAACAAGTACAATAATAATGATATGTATGGTAGCTTCCATTTGCCCAGAAATGTAAATTATTTGTGAACGATGATAATTACTGAGATTTAGATTCCAAGTTGGTGGTGTTTGGGGAAAGTGCTAAATAATGCTTCTTGTGCACGGGAGGAGTAATTAGTAAAATGGTAAAATGTCTGCTTACAAATATGAACTTTTGAAAGACATAAATAATCTGGTATCCCACTGGGCTCCAGAGCAGCTGCCTTTGCACCTTGCCTTCTCCTTACGAGAATGTGTCCTTGGGGCAACCGTCTTCATGAGGAGGCCTGCTGACCAAGCCCTGTGACGAGGTTGTGAGAACCATGATGTTATCCAATCACAGCACAGACTGGCTTCTGTTCCACTGTGCAAGCAGTGAAACTGAGGCTTGGAGCCTTGCCTCTGAGGAGCAAAGAGAAAAGCTGGGCATGAAATCAGCGCTCCAGGGCCATAAGACAGGGACTTAGTGACTGACCTAATTTCTTTCCCTCTTATCCACACGCAAATTTTAATTCTTCCTCTGAGAAGTCTGAGGCTATTGCTGACAACCAACATGAGGAAAGATGTACTTTCTTCCTCTCCTGCAGTCACAGAAAGTAGGAAGAGGATGAGGAAGAGAAAAGCCTTCATAAGCCTCCGCCCCAAATTCCAGTCTGGTACAGCTGCAGGAAACACAGTCTACTCTCTGTGAGATGAAGAGCTTTCCAGAAAGAGGGCTGTAATCCACCCAGGCGCTCTAATTAATTCTGCCGGTCAAAACAGTTCAACGATGGAAAAGCCACATGTTAGAATCACTGAAATCACCTAGCCAGGAATTTATAATGGGAAGTAATATATCAATATGCTTAACTTAAAATATCAAGTCGAAAGTAGAAAGAAAAGAAAGACCTCTGAGGGGTCTCAGAAGGCTGAGGGCATGGGCTCATAGTAACATTAGTGAGAAGAGCCAGTGCATCTAAGGTCAGGCCAGAGACTTGAGCAGGTGACATGGACATACTCAATTTAGGAAGCAGATTGCCTTGTAATGTTGAAAAATGCACACAAGGCAAAGAATAGGGGAACTGATCTAATGCTGACATGAAAAACTAAAAAGACATAGCAAAATCCATAAAGCTTGTCCTGGGAATACGTAAATGGCCAGTTGTGAGGCTTCTCTGTGCCTAAGAAGGTCACCGAGAAGGCAGTCAAATGGCCCCTTATTTAATAGTGATGGGGACTAATCAGAGAAGGCCCGGCAAGGGCAGAAGAACAGGCCATCAGGCCCTCTTTACTTAACCTAAGGAAATGGGCCAAAAGCAATTTGTGCTGTTCAGTCTTTCCTTTCTTAGAGGAATCAAGTCTTGCTACTTCAGCTCTTTTCTAAGTTGGAACTTGAGATGCCAGGAGGAAAGGGGGCAGGGGGGAGGGTAGCATAAAATTCACACAAAAAGCTCCTTCTTCCCTTCCTGCCTTTAGGAATGGAGTCTCATCCTTAGGATATCAGGATTTTTCTAGGCGGCCAATACCATGAAGTTTTATTGCCCACCTAGACATGGTGGAATGCTGCATAGGGCATTACAGTTTCTAAGGGTGAAATGAGGGGGTACTTATGAAAACTGTATTTGAAACCAGTTATACATTGGGAACAAAAATGGGGGAGAACTGTGAAAAGAAAACTTAATTCTGCAGGCTCAGAAGAAAATTACTATAACCCTTGCTTTAATTGATTTATTTTATATGAACTTAGGAGTCACGTGAAGGTTTTATTTTTAAACAATGGTTGGTTGGCAGGTAGGCTGGTGGTAACCATGGTGGAGAGCTGGTCCTGGAACTTCAGCCTGGGGATCTCAGCCTCCCAACTCCAGTCGATGAGAATAAATAATTAACTAAATAAAAATAAGACATAGTACTATGGTTCCAAAGAAATGCAAAGTAAGGGCAGAGAAGTCACTAGGTACTTGCAGAACATTTTGAAACCAGGACACTGAGTGCCAAATAAACAAACAAACAAAAAAAAGTGAACCTCATTAGTAATCAAGATGAAAATGATACATCATCGTTCACTGCCGAAATAGCAAAGAAGGGTGTAAGTGACGATAATGTTAACAAGGGTACAAGGAATGAGGACTCTAATACACTGCTGGTGGAAATTGCTGTAACCTTTTAAAAAGAGATTTGGTGGTAGGTTTGAAAAGTATCCGAAAAAATACTCATCTCCTTTGTAATTTTATTTTCAACAACTCACCTAAAAAGTAAATTCAAAATAAGAAACTGTATGCCCAAAGTTGTCCATTGCACCACTGAAAATAGATATCTAAATGTTCAAAGTGAGAAACTATGTAATATGATATTCTATAGGAATGCAGATAAAATATGGGATGCCCACTTCAATTTGAATCTCAGATAAACAACAAAAAATAAAGTGCCCCAAACACTGCACTGGAAATATTGTGTGGGTTATACAGACAGTAGAAAAAAAAAATCATTGTTTATCTCAAGTTTAAATGGAACTGAGTGTCCTATATTTTTGTTACACCAAGCAATTGTACCATAGTATTATAATGAAACATTGTACGATCCTTAAACATTAACCATGCAAACATTTTAATAACATGAGAAAATATATGAAGAACAAAAAAGGAGACAATTATATTTACACACTTCAGCAACATAAAGAATCTACACCACAGGAAAAATCAAAACATCACTAGAAAAAGAAGATTTGGGAATCTTCAGGGAAAGGACAATGAGCCCAAATTAGTTTTATGAGCATAAAACATATTAATACTTTCAAGTGTGGTCCTGAAACACAAAGAGCTCATCTTTAAGGTGGGACTACCTCTGCCTGCCCAGGAGTCTTTAATGTCCTAGTCTTTTATTCTCAAAATCCCTCTTCTAGGGAATGTCCCTGTGCACTTCTCTCCTGCCTTATGCTGCTTTTCGAGCTCTGGACTGAACTCCCCATCTCCCACCCCAGGAACCCTGAGAACTACCCTGAGAGGCCCAGGTTCCCTTTAGGCCCCCCATGCAGTAGGAAGGTGCAGAGGTGGAAGGGATTGCTGGAGAATAGAGGCAGGTAGACTGGAGGGCAGCTAGAGTAGAGAACAGATCACACTGAGCACAGGTAGAATGGAGACAAGCAGAGCTGACCAGAGGAAGGATGGAAGGCAGGTAGGACTCAGCACAGGTAAAAGAGAAGACAGGGAACACTGAGGTACTCAAGTAGAAGGAAGACAACTAAAACCATCAACAAATAGAATGGGGCCCTGATGGTGGTGCAAGAGGCATTTTGCATCAGGCAAGTTTGATACAAGATATTACTTCAGGAATAGAAGCAACAGGTTAAAAAAAAAAAAAGACTTAACTGTGGAGTGAAAAGGCGTGGAGACACAGCTTTTACACAGGGTCTTTGTCAGCAGTGCAGAGCTCAAGGTCTAAGTGTAAGTGTCTGAATAAGAAGGAAAATACCAAGGGTTTTAACTCTTGGTCATGCAGTGTCATGAAGGCAAAAGAAAAATGGGCTTAGCCACATCACTGCCTGGAAGGTATGAACTTGCTCTGGTAATTCTATCAACTAGATATAAGCAGATTCACTCCATCCTGGAGCTTCTCCTTCATAATTGGTGTGTATCTGCTCTCTGAGACCCATGGCAGAAATGCCAACACTTGTCTAAATTCCAAGCATTCCGGTGAGATCTTTGGGTCACTCCAAACCACAGGAGCTGTGGCAGCGGCAAACACACCTAGGAAGGCAGATGCTGGATTTGAATAAAAGGCTAATTCCAATGAATGAATCGGGGATGATATTTG